GTAGGTGATATTGCTGAATCTCTGGCACTTCTCACACTTCTTGACATATTCCTGGGCGTCTTTCTTCATGGTAGGCCAATAATATCCATACCTTATGAGCTTGAAGGCTAATGCCCGAGCTCCTTGATGGTTCCCACATATTTCTTCATGAACTTCTTCTAGGGCCTGGGATGATTCGGAAGGCTTAAGGCATCTGAGGTATGGAAGTGTGATGCTTCTGTGAAATAGAACTCCTTCAATCATGCAATACCTTGGAGCTTTGGACCGAATGCTTCTTGCTGCCCGAGGATCTTCTGGAAGATTGCCATGTTTTATGAAGTCCATTATTAGATCCATCCACGATGGCTCATTATCAATATCCATGATGCCTACGGTCTGATTGTTGCTTAGCTCGGTTACAATTCTAACTTGGACTGTCCTGTCAAACCCATCTATCCCCATGAACACCAATCTTGACAAGGCATCGGCTTTACAATTCTCAGCCCGAGTAATTTTCACAATTTCACAACTCTTGAACTTTCTCTGGAGATCATGCACTTTCAAGCAGTATAAGCTCATCTTCTCGTCCTTCCTATCGAGTTTCCCTTCAATTTGTCCAACTGTAAATTTTGATGTTTTCAAGCTTGAGATTAATGGCAAGTTCCATGGCTATGATGACGGCCTCATACCCCGCTTCATTATTGGTTGCCTTAAATTCGAACCTGAGTGCACACTGAATGTCTATGAGCGTGTCCGGGCTTATGATTATGACCCCTGCACTCAATCCCGATGAGTTTGATGCTCCATCTACAAAAATTTACCACGCGTCTGTGGAAGAGCACGAGCTACCATCTGGCCCCTGAGGCCTTGGGGTGAGTTCTACAATGCAGTCAGCTAAGGCCTGAGCTTTGATAGATGGACGAGGCATGAACTCTATGTCAAATTCTTCGAGTTCAATTGCCCACTTCAATAATCTTCCTGAGACGTCTGGTTTCTGAAGAATGTGTTTTAGAGGCTGATTGGCGAGCACTACAATAGGATGTGACTAAAAATATTGTCGAAGCTTTCGTTCTGCCACTATCAGTGCAAGGGCAAGCTGTTCTGCCAAAGTATATCTTGTTTCTGCATCAAGTAGGACTTTGCTTACGTAATAAATAGGTTGCTGGGCCTTGTTAACCTCTTTCACCAAGACACCACTCACTACATTCTGAGACGCGGCTAAGTACAAATACAAAGTATCCCCAAGCTCGGGTTTGGTGAGGATGGGAGGAGATTCCAATGTCTGCTTGAGCTCCTAAAAAGCCTTCTTGCACTCCTCATTCCATTCAAAGCAATGATTACCTCTGAGGGCTTTGAAGAAGGGAAAGCACATGTCTGCTGCTTGGGACATGAACCTATTTAAGGCGGCTATCCTGCCTGTCAACTTTTGAACTTCTTTCTTGGTCCTTGGTGATTCCATTGCTGTCAAAGCTTGAATGTTATCGGGGTTGGCCTCAATCCCCCGATGAGTGATCATGAAACCCAGAAACTTTCCCGAAGCTACACCGAATACACACTTCTCTGGGTTGAGCTTTATCTTATATTTTCGTAGGTGGCGAACACCTCCTCCAGGTCGGATATGTGCTGCTCTACATTCTTACTCTTTACAACCATGTCGTCAACATAGGCCTCGATGTTCTTCCCTATTAAATCGACGAAGACTTTGTTGATGAGCCTTTGATATGTCGCCCCAGTATTTTTCAACTCAAATGGCATCACCCTATAGCAATATATGGCTGAATCAGCCATGAATGAAGTATTCTCTTAGTCTTCTTCGGCCATGAGAATTTGAAGATACCCTCTAAGAAGCTGTACAGCTTATGTCCAAATGTGCAATCCACAAGATTGTCAATCTTGGGTATGGGTAGCTGTCTTTTGGGCATGCCTTATTGAGATCTGTGAAGTCGATACAGACCCTCCATTCACCACTGGCCTTCTTCACAAGAACAACATTAGCGAGCCAATCGGGGTATTGGACTTACCTTATGAACCCCGCTTTTACCAGTTTGTCGACCTCTTCTTGAATGACCACACGTCTTTTCGGTGCAAACTGCCTTTTCCTTTGCTTAATAGGTTTGGCCCCTGGGCTTATATTGAGTCTATGAAAAGCTACTTCTGGATCTATCCCTGGCATATTCTCCACCTTCCATGCAAAAACATCGATGTTGCAGGACAGACAATTGATGAATTCCTCCCGGAGGCTGGCCTTGGGATCCCGACCAATAGTTACCGCTTTTTCGTGCTCGAGCTCGACCACTTCCAATTCCTCAACCAAGGCAAGTCTGCCCTTGGTACGAGCTCGAGCTCGAGGTCTGAAAGTTGCATGACGTCTGTACTCATTCCTCGAATGCTAGTAACATAGCACTGTCTGGCAACTGTTTGGTCCCCTCGAACTAATCCGACGCCATGGCCTGTTGGAAACTTCATGGCCAGGTGGAAAGTTGATGCAATAGCCTGGATCTTGTTTAGTAGGGGCCTTCCGAGAATGATGTGTGTAGGCCATAGGGGTGTTAACCACTTGGAATTGTGTGATCTCCGTCACTTGTGCCTTACTAGAACCTAATGTAAGCGGAAGCTCGACGATACCCTCAGGGATAATGACTCCACCACCAAATCCCTGTAGAGGAGTTTTAACTGTTTTGAGCTGTTTGGGAGAGAGCCCCATTTTAGCGAAGGCCTCCTGTGATAGTATGTTTGCCGCACTTCCATTATCAACCAGAATCCTCTTTACTTCAAAGTTAGCCACAATTGCAGAGACGACCAAGGCATCGTCATGAGGATATGATATTCCTTCCAAATCTCTTACTCCAAAGGTAATGTCTTCGAGTTTATCACGGGTTTCCTTCGAGGTATGAGCATGTTGGCGGGCATATAGCTTTCGCCCACTATTTGTGTCTCCTCCTGATGCTATGCCTCCAATGATAATATTAATGGTCCCTGCAGTGGGTTGAGTACTGCTTCCGGCTCCAGGCTCTTTCTGATTGTCACGGTCATTCTTCGGGCTTTTATCATAACCAATGTAGTTCCTTAAGAGTCCTCTTTTAATGAGGGATTCAATTTCCCACTGCAAGGCTTGGCAATCCTCCATGGTATGCCCATGATCTCGGTGAAATTCACAATATTTGCTCCTATCTCTTGTGTCAGGGGGTGACTTCATTCTTGAAGGCCACTTTAATTCTTTCATATCTTTGATCTCCATTAAGATATTTGCCTTGGATGTGTTTAATCGGGTGAGGAGCCTTGGTGGACCTTCATTCTTGCGCTTTTCTCGAGGATACTCGGGCCGAGAAACAGAATCATGTTGCTTCTTGTTCTCGGCCTTTTCGTGGGAAGGACCAAGTCTCCTTGGATTTAGTGTTTCCTCCATATTAATGTATTTTTCAGCTCGGGTGAGGAGCTTCGTCACTGTTTGCAGCGGGGTCTTTGATAAAGATATCTTGAAAGCTTCACGTCTTACGGTGTAGTGAGGGCGGAGACAGCTGCTGTGATGTGAATGTCGGGTATTTGATGTATTTTTTTGCTAAACATTGTCATAAATCCTCGTAGGGTTTCACTTGGTCCCTGACGAAGTTGCATGAGAGAGGTCGCAGTCTTTCTGATTTGCTTGCTACTTGCAAAGAAGGCGGAGAACTTATCAGTCAAATCTAAAAATGAGGCTATGGAGTTGGGCTCCAATGTAGAGAACCAATCCCTTGCAGCATTAGTTAGAATTTGGGGGAAGGCTTTGCACATAACCTGATCCGGCGCAACTTGCAAGTTCATGACATTAATATATACATTGAGATGGTTGATGGGGTCGCTCGTCCCATCATACTCTTTAATGCGAGGATATTTGAATCTGTCGGGCAAGGGACATGACAATATATCTGGCGTGAATGGAGTGTTAGTGTAAAACTCGTTGGCCCCCGAACATTCCGTTGCAGGCCAACTGTAATTCCTTCTTGAATGATTCGGACAATCTCACCGGAATCCATGGCGATCGATCTCGAGCCCGAGGCCATGTTGCGAATACCTGAGGTTCCTACTCTGCCAGTTGCGGGGTTTGGTGGTCGGGCTCGAGCATCATCCATAAAACCACCATGCTCTGCCTGTGCTGGTGACGGATGCGAATTTCTTTGACTTAACAGTTGCGTGAGTGTGGCCACTTGCTGACGGAGCTCTTCAAAGGCTTCGGTTGTGACAATCGCCGATAGAGGTGCGAGCACTCCTGATGACTCTTCTTGAAGAGCTGGTTGATCTTCAGCAGGATGAGGAATGGGAGCAGATGAGCTTGCGGAAAGAAGACCTGATCGCGTGTTAACCATGGCTTTTGGTAGCGTTTCCCATAGACGGCGCCAATGATGCTACCAAAAATCGTACCTGGTGATTTCCTGAGCTTAAGGATTTTGAATGAGCACGATCGTAATCTTCCGGTACCTGAAACAAAGGCAATGAGGTATGTTCTCGTCGCCCCTCCGATACTTAAGTCAGAAAATGAATTATGTGCGTAAGACTTTAAACTGAAAATAATGAAAACATGCCTGAACAATGCCCCCATCTATTGTATTTATAGAGGTAGGTGATATTCTCCTAGTAGGACTCAACTAGCTAGGTATCCTTATTTGTTGGAGTCCTGTACGGTTAAGGAATCAGACAAATACCAAAATTATGCTTAAGACAGAGTCCTTATTAGGATCAAGTATCGAAATAGTAGTCCAGAGTTAGAGTTCCAAGTAGATAGGAATCCTATTTGATCAACATAACCCAAGCCGCTCGAGGAGAGGAATTCCCGAGGACATAATATCCCGAGGACCTCAGGCGTACAAAATCGTCGTCACACGATTGCGAATCCTCGAGCATGTGTCATCGAGGAAAATGCTCGAGGACATCAAGCTGCAATATGGTGAGGGAGTTATTTTCAGTTATCGAGGATAATGTTCAGGTATGGACGAATAATAAGGCGTATCAGCTACAATATTGATAAAGCCAGAATTGATCAGAAATAAAAATAATTACTACTGAACAATAATTTTTTGCATACTATTCAAGATTTACCATTTACATGTACTGATCAAAAATCTTGACAACGAATGCGAACATAATTGCATACATATTTCTTTATTTTTTATTTTCAAATTATCGAGATTAAGATGATGCAGCTGCCCCAAATTTATTGGGCTGGTACTCGCCCAACAAATTTGCGACGATTAAATCAACATCCTCTAGACCAACACCGATGAACAGAGGATTGCTCGGACTCCTAACAGAAACATCAACACCACCAGCTTGAACGCCTTCCAAGTTATTTTGAACCCGAACATTAGGGCCACTCCTGCACTTGCCCATGCATTTGCATCCCGAAACTCCAAATTCAATCCCGACTGTCCTCTGAAATTTCTCTAACAATGCTGCAGCCCCTGTTTTCTTGCATTTTCCACCCATACATACCTCGATTTTCTTAGCAGAAGCTACTTTAACCATGGTATTTCCATGGCTGGAACTAACATTATTCGCGTCTCTACATAAGCTATCTGTTCTAGAACTGCATTCTTGAACTGATCCACAAGATTCAACGCCCCTCCCAACGTCAGTATTATCCTCTGTGATGACTGGCACTGACTCCAAAATGCTCGTTTGTAACTCAGTAGTAGTCCCCTCTCGGGTGGACAAGCTAGGAGATGGTGATGCTACTTCCTCGTCCACTCGTGGCAAAGTAACCGGGATTGCCTGTGGGCGGTTAAGGCGGTTCATGCCAACCACCTCACCGCATTCACTATCACTTTCGGAAGAAGAACTTGAAGACATTTCACATTCGAGCAGGTTCTGCATCCGTGCAGCTTTTAGTTTAGCCTTTTCATCTTTCATTTTCTTATTTAATTTCTTCTCCTCTGCCCTTAGTTTCTCTAATTGTTCCATCAGTAACTCGGCAGCCTCCTAAACACGACATAAACGGAGCAATGTCAACAAAATGCTCTAAAGTAATGCACTATCAAACAATTAAACCATGGAATTTAGTCTTCTTCAAAATTACCGAAAGAAGTCAAATCAACTCAACCTGAACAACTTAAATAAAACCCTGAAAAAATTTGAATATCTATTATTTGATTCAAGTCCAAACTCCAAAATCAAGCATGGTCATATAATCAACTTTTATAATGCAATCCCAGATGATTAATCAATTAATTAAAATATACAATCAAAAACCATATCAGAAAAACAAAATAAATTCTAAATTTCATGATTATTTATAATACATACCGTAATCGAGTTGCCTTTAACTTCATCGGAGTTAAATTGAAAACCCATGTTAGAAAACGTTGATAAATCCTTCGACAACCCCTTGAGCAATTTCAACTTGTTCTTAATCTTCTTTGTCTCTTTTTCCTTAATATTTTCCTTCTGTCCACACCTTATAATCCCCGAAGTATTACTCCTGTAATTGTAATATTCCAAGTGACCCGTATCAGAAAACCTACAAATCTTTCCAGGTCTTAAGGAATGCCCAGATTTTACAGGACCCGAAATTGACAAAGAGGAAGATGAAGCAGAGTAATGAAATCTTCGGGCATGAACATCCATTCCAGCACCAGAAAAACCACAAGATTGACCCAATACCAATTTTGAAACCTCCATTATTGCTTATTTCTCTAACTTCTGCTTAATTTCTCTGCTCTTTATATGGATAGTTCGCTTTATATGAGTTGCCAAGTATTAAAGTTTCCTTCCTATGAGTTGGATTTGCTTTAAATTTGGAGCAAGAAGTTATTCTGGAGTACAAGGATCAAAGGTCTCCGTGGACGATTCTTATCGGTTAAAGTTCGAGAAATCCGACGTGTGCTGGCACCTGCGAACCAGAAGCCGTTTATAGTTACCCACATTCTTTCCTTTTTTGACGTGCGATTTTGGGCGATATAAGCCGGTGGATTAAAAAAAGGGAAATTGGACGGTTGGGATGTAGACAACTCCTTGACGCGTCAGATGCCAGGTGGATATTTGCCAGTTCGGGAGGAATATATGGATCCATCATTGCGTCTTGGATGGAGTTCTGCTCCAATCATGCTACTTGTACATTGAGTTAGACATTATTCATTACATTGTGTCACGTGACGACATCACATTGGATAGTTTGAAAATAAAAAACATTTTCTCCCCAACACTTATTTTGAAAATAATGGAATGTTAAGAATGATGTCAAACAGATAATGTACAAATAGCATTGTTGTCATAAAAATATATGTGGAACTGTCCTGTACAAAGTAGAACGAACATTGCTAAATGTACACTATGGTGTACACTTTAGTTTACACTTTATCATGTGTCATTATTATATTTGACAATTTAAATTTCAAACAGTTTTTTCATCCAATTGACACTTGACAACAATACAAGTGTCAACAAAAGAATCAAAAATCAATGTACAAATAGTAAAGTTCAATTTTTATTGACAGTTGATAAAAAGAAAAAAAATTGACAGACATACAACTGTTGTCATCTTAACGCCTATAAATTTTCAAATCCAACCACCGCTATACAAATAGAACATTGTTACATGTACATTATAGTGTACACTTTAGTTTACACTTTGTCATGTGGCATTACCTAATTGAACAGTTTAAATTTCAAAAAAAATTTTCATCCAATTGATAGTTGATAACAATACAAGTGTCAACCAAAATATCAAAAATTAATGTACAAATAGCAAAATCGATGCAAATATATTAATGCGGTCTTGAATGTCCATGTCTTGAAAAGTAAAGGATAAATGGGAACTTTATAATTTAGAGTAAAAGAAATTGATATTAGGAAATTTGTGGATAATAAATTAAAATTAAAAAATTAGTTTTAACTAAATTTATTGAGGAAAATTCTACTTGCACATAGCGGTATCCATAATGTGATGCAACAATCATTCGATAGTTGATGTGCAAATGTGAAATTTGAATTAAAGGTTGGATCCAGTGCCACATATAATTATAGACTCCATTATATAAACAATTATGTACATGTAGCACTTCTCATTTATTAATTATTATAAATTTGTATCCAAATGAAGTTTTTGAAATTGGATCATTGGTTCTCAATTTACATCATTCATAACAATTTAGTCTCTTATATCTAAAATAGAGCGATGTAATGACTATGGTCAAAGTTGGATTGGGCTAGATTGATGGCTTCAATCAAGAAAGATGAACATTACACATATATAAGGTGGTTGTAATTCAAATTTAAGAAATTAGGTTTAATATTTTAGAAATCGGCTCTTAATTAAATTCTATTAATTAAATAATTAATCAAAATATGTTATATAATTAAAATATATTAAGGTCACAGTTATTTATTAGTCACAATTACACACGTTATATTCAAAATCACAAATTTCATTGATCACAACTTATTTTACGATTACAAATTATCAAATTAGTTGATCACACTTATTTCTCGATCACCAATTATTAAATTAATTGATCAAAATTTAACAAATCGTGAGTCATGCTTATAAATTTAGTCAAAATCTAATATTTTTAGGTTATGTATTATTTGATACACAAAAAAAAATAAAAAAAAATAAATAAATAAATAAATATTTAATCACAACTACCATCCCACACCACACCACCATCACCACCAACCCACAACCACAACCACCATCCCACACCATATTATCGCCGCTGCCACTAGCACTGCCAACCACAAGCACCACCAATATTATCAGCACGTCCACACCACCGCCACCGTAATCACCATCCCACACCAACTTTAGCAAGCCTAGTGGACTCGAGCCGTTATCACAAAAACTACAAATGGCAACACTGCTATTGCTCCGACGATGCATTTAGACAGCACCGTCATGCTACTCAACGGTGTTGAGCAACATCGCTTTGAGAAGCGATGTCGGTACAATGATGATGCTCGCAAACTATGTCATTGTCGCTCTGCAAATGTGTGATTATTTCTCAAAGCGATGCCTCGTCAATGGTACCTCCAGGCCTAGGGTATGGGGTGTGCGTGTGAGAGAGAGAGAGAGAGAGAGAGAGAGAAGGGGGGGGAAGCGATTAGGGTTGGTGGGTAAGTAGATTAATTTAATTTTATAATATTATTATTTATATTAAAATGTGGAATTATCACCTGTGATTTTTGTATAAATAGATTCTAAACTTGATTTTCTGAAATTGAAACTTAAAAAATTTGGTTGCCCGTAATTTCCACTCGAGAGAATTGAGAAACTGTCTAGGTTATCGGCAAAGTTTGAAGAAATAGACCCAATGAAAATAAGTTAAGAATCAAACAATTTTGTTGTGAGGCGACGGTCTCTTAAATAAAATAGCTCGATTTTCTATTAAAGTAGCTAGTTCAAGCCAAAATTTTGTACACGTTTGAAATTTTGATCAGTGACCCTTCTCAAATTAATTCTTAACCAAGTCTTTAAAGCATTAATCATCACATTTCAATATAGTTGCAAACGTTGCTCTTCTGGAGAATTTGTTAGAATTTGTAAGTTTTTCATTCGGACTCATGAGATAGGTCAAGATCGAAGTCACATATTTAAGAACTTAGGAGCCAAACTTTGGAGCAAGATCAAAATCTTGATTTCTTAAATAAAATGTAAAGGTATTAGTACCTTGATATTTATCATTGAATATTTAAGCTCAAAATCCTTTTATACATCAAAAAATAAATTGTGAATTAAAAGTTATTGTGATACAATGTTTTGATCAAATATAAAAATGACTTTTAAAAATGATATTTGAACTTGAAAAAATTTGTCCTCAAAAGATAGTTAGAGTTAAAAATACTTTCCAAAAGTCCATACATTTCAAAACCTTCAAATCGGATCAAACGGAGCTAAAACATAAAGAGACAAAAACTCCCTGACGATTGACTAACTGGAAGGGGGGTCGATCGAAAATTTTCAACGCTCCAAAATTTGACTGTTTTAACATCTGATTTTTATTATATAAACAACTATACTGGTCATCCGAACAAGACACTGTCGACGAACATGTCGTCCAAACTTATAGATTTTTTTGACGTTTTGAACTTTATAAATATCCCCCCTCTTTCCATTCTTCACAAGACTTTCAAGAGTATCAAAGTGAGATATTTTTGTTTTGAAAATTCTTTAAACTTTACATTCATTTAATTTATTTCTTCATATAAAAAACTTCGATTTATTCCAACTCCTTAATCATCATCATTAAATAAAAAAATAAAAAATAAAAATCTCTTTTTTTGTACTTAACTTATTTTCATTATTTATAAAAAAGGAATATATTTTGAAGAAGATTTTTGAACTTATATTGCATTTTTTCTTATACTTCTTCACATTGAATTTTTTTTTTTTTATTTATTGAATCAAATTTGAAAACTCATCATATTTATCAAAGTTTCTCATTTTTCTCTTGGTGCTTAATTTGTTATAATCATTAATTAAAAAGAGATATTTTGAGAAGACTTTTGAACATACATTGCATTTATTTCTTTTTCTTTTTCATTTTCTCATTGAAAAACTTTGATTAGTTGAATCAAATCTTTAATTATCATATTCATCAAAGTTTTTTGTCTAACACTAAAGCTATCATTTATTTCTATTCATTGAAGTGTTAGTCTTTCTTAGTATTTAATTCATTTGTACCATTTATTAAGATAGAAATTTCATTATAAAATTATTTTGTTAAAATTGTAAGTTGTATTGAGGTCCCGTAAAATCTCAATAGTATAAGGATCGACGTTCCTTGTTGTAATTCACCACGTAGATTATATTGAGGTTCCGCAAAGCTCAATATTGTATAAGGATAAGTGTTCCTGGTTTGTAAATTACTGAAAGTGTTTAAAAGGTTGGATTACACCACAAGTCAATTAATATAGTGAAAAGACCTCATTCGTGCCATATAGCTTAATAACGAATGATGTAGTCATTGCTTTGGATCAAACCTTTACAATTATATCGTTTGCATCCTCTCTACCTTTTTACTTATCATTATCTTATTTATGTTATTTGATTGATCTACTTGTTTTATTTGCTTATGATTATTAATTGATCAACATATCTTTGCTTTCTTGATTTAAGTTTATTTTTCGAAGAAGTTTTAAAAACCAATTCACTTTCCTCTTGGTTAGTTATTTTTGGGCTTTCGGAATCAGGTTAACTCCAATTAACATAGCTCAACTAAGATTGAGTACATTAAATACACTTTAAAACGTACAAAACAAACGAAATAGCATTATTTCAAGAATAAGATTGAGTGCATGAATACACTTGGAATTGTACGAAGCTAACAAAAATAACGTTATTCGCTCTCGAAATACAAGTATACACAACCACCACCGTGACTAGAAAAGTAAATTGCTCTTTCTTTATTAGTTAGGAAGTTATCATAGCTAAAAAGTAACAGGAAAAAATAAATTAGAGAGTGGAATAATCTTGTTTAGCTTAAGGCACAATGATAGAAAGATTACAACTACTATATGCCCACCAAATTCCATAAAAGGAGTATGGCTCAATTCATAACTTAGTGAAGTATTTTTCAATTATAAGTAATGATTATAATTAATGGTGGAGGTGATGACAGTAGGTTTGGTTTGGTGATCAACAAAGCAACATTTCTCCTATGTCTATACATTTTTTTGCTTTGATGAAAAGTAAACACCATCAAAAAGTAACTATGAATTTCTTCATGTCAATTAGAAGTTGTGCTGCAAGAACAAGTGTTCTTGAGGAGAAGCTGGTCCAATTTCTTCTTCTAAACTTCTCAACCCTTCGCCTCCACTAGCGCTGTTTCCTACGTTTTTCGCTTCCGAGTTCTTTCCATCAACATCCGCATCTGAAACTGACGATCTCCTCCTCTGAGACGATGCAACACTAGGAAAAGTAATCCACGAGGGAGCTCTGAATTCAAATTTTTGATCCTCATTTTCTGCAATATCTGTTTCTGAGGTAGACCGGTATGAAGATATTTGAGAAGACTTGGTGTGCAATCGACTACTACCCAAAACTACCTCAGTTGGCAAAATAGGTTGCTCGTTGCTCGGTCTACCCAACAAGAGTGCAAGTGCACGCTCCAAAGCAGTTGTCACTTTATCCATAGATGGCCTCTCCTTGCCTCTCATTCGTACGCATTTGCTAGCTACATTTGCAATTCGTTTCAAAGCTTCAAGATCGCTCGTGGGTTTCAAAACGGGATCCAAAATGGCTAGTATATCACCAGCCTTGATCAAAGGGACAGCCCATTCGACTATATTTCCTTCCTCATATTGCATGTCAATGGCTTTTCGACCACTGAGAATTTCCAAAAGCAAAACGCCAAAGCTATAGACATCAGATTTGGTAGTGAGATAGTGAAGTCTATAGTACTCAGGATCGAGATATCCAAGAGTTCCAGCAGGTAGCTCAGACAAAGGGGAGCTACTATTTGCAGGTCCCAGTAAAGACAGACCAAAGTCGGCAACACGGGCATTGTGTTCTTCGTCTAATAGGATGTTAGAAGATTTTATGTCTCGATGAATTACAGGGGGGCAAGCATAACCATGTAGGTATTCAATTCCCCGAGCTGCTTGGACTGCAATAGTTACCCTCTTCACCCAATCCAATTGCTCTTTTAGTGCCTTATTCTGTCCATGGAGATGCTGATGCAAGGATCCATTAGCCATAAATTCATAAACCAAAAGCCTTTCTCCACCTTCTTCACAATAACCAAGTAAATTAAGCAAATGAGCATGATTTAACCGTGAAAGCAAATCTAGCTCTGTATGGAACTCCTTCAAATCTTTCTTTACATCAGGAGACATAATAGACTTTTTCACTGCAACTACAGTTCCATCCTTCAACACCCCTTTAAAAACACGCGAAAAACTACCCTTTCCCACCTGTGATTCTTCCTTGAATCCACTAGCAGCTCTCTCAAGTTCCTCATATGTGAACATTTGAGCTCTCCTAATTTTAAGCTCGTCCAAGTCTGGCTGAATTTTCCCACTATCTTTCTGGAAAGAACCAACTTTGCTGTTTTTCTTGGACGCAAAAGCTCTTCCTGCGCATCTACAGTTTCTTAACTTGTAACGAACATATATAATTGAAGTCAAAGATGCAACAGTCACCAAGAAAACAGCAAAGGCAATCTCTGCAACAATGACTGGCAGCTGCAGTGACCAAAATTTTCTATTCTTCTTTCCATTACCAGTAGCATCGGAACAGTTGGAGAAGCAGTTGCGTGATATGCAACTTGAACAGTTGTATCTGCACTGCCTGTCTGAAGTCGAAGTGCATGCAGAAACTTGATACATTTCGTCAGGGCAGCCATTGCTACAGTGCAGACAAACTTTGCAACGAGCACTTCCATTTTTAAACTCATAGAAATCAGATGTACAAGGTTCATGCTTGCAAGGTCCGGGCAAAACAGCTAGTGGCAGAGAGGATGGAAATCCAGCTCCCCAACAAACAGGTTGGAGAGATGCAACAGAGAGAACCCCACAAGTGAAGTAATCACCTGCTGCAATCTCGTAGAACCTAACATGATTCGGAGGAGGGGTACTTCTCTCAACATGATGACCCCAACAGACCACTTCATGATCATAGCTTTTGATGCCACAAGAATGGAATCTTCCCCCGACAACTGAAAGCATTGGATCATTCGGTGTCAAGTCCACATTAAGTCGGCCAGAATCCACTAAAGATGCAAAGTTTTCTCCGTCGAAGTCCATGCTCCCCCAACAGAAGACTCGAGAATCCACACCCTCTAGTATCCCACAGACATGGAACCCCCCAGCTGCAATCCTGTGAAACCTCATCCCCACGGGGATAAGGCCTATTACTCCGCTCCCAGTATCATCTCCCCAACAGAAAACACTTCTATTTTGAGAAAACAAGCCACAGTTAAAATTTGACCCTGCCGAGATAGATTGGATCTGCCCATCAAACTCATAGCTTTTGGTCATATTATAGCCCCAACAATCAACTAAAGAAATGTTCCTGTCCTTTCCTGTCAAGGGTTTTCTCAAGCCACACAAATGGTGATCACCCGCACTAATTTCCAAGTATTCAGAACCCTTAACCATTGGCCGAGGTACACCAATCAGAACGAATCCACTACTTCCCCAACAATAAGGTTGATTCGAGTCCATCAGAAGTCCACATACGAAGCCATTCCCAGCGGTCAGACCACTAAAAGGGAGATGAGCTGAAACTGCACGGGTAATAGCCGAATTGGACCCATAGCAAGTAACAAGATGAGAGCCATCTGATTTTATTCCACAGAAAACAGGACCATTTTCACCATAAGAAATGGCGATGGAAGACATTGACCCCAAGCCTAAAACCTGTCCCCACAAATCCAAAAACAACAGAAAAATTATAAATTGTGCAAACGCCATTGGCTTCCCTATTATTGAAGTTACGCTCTATCAATCAATTCTGATTCTTTCTTCTTCTCTTGATTTTTTCCGATTGAGATGTTTTCCGGAACTAAGGAAATGCAAGGCAATATCTTTAGATGTAACTAACAAAGATTTCCCTCGCATTAAATTGCTGCAAAAAAAGGAGCGACAATATAGGAAACATAAGCACGTTACAACATGTAAAAAAGGTCGGTCAGATTCATCTTATTTATCAGTAATAATTCCAAATCTCACACGTTCATCCATGGTTGACATCTAAAATAGCTGAATTATCCTGATCTCCCAGTTCTCTGTCAGTTTATAACTCTTGCTGTGCAACAAAAGCTTAAAACTTTTAGTTCACGTTCGATAGTTAGTTTAGTACAGGAAAGACTAATCAAGAAGATTATTCTTCATTTTTTTTATCCTCCCTAATAAAGATGCTATTAGACGAGACGACAACATAATATAAAGAAATGGTACGAGCGACAACATTTCTTGGAAGCCCATTAACTTCCTTGAAGTGCAATTTCAAGAAATAAAAATATCACCCAGAAAGTAAATTCACTTATCAAGGTCAAAAATGAAAATGCACAAACCATATAGTGAATAATCAAACGAAACTTTTACTCTATTAAGCCAACATAGAAATCTCCGAACAATATTTACCATTGAATACAACAAATCATCTTCCATTTTGCTATTCTTTTCCAAGATCCTGAACACTCGATGTTTGCTCTTGTATATCACCTCGTAAAATTCACAACCCTCGAGCCCAGAAAAGCTGAAAAGGAGAATCTGCAGGTTGACTAGATCAAGAAACAAACCCTACACCCTTTCCGAAAAAGAGATACTGTTAAGCACATGCAAAGTCTTTCTTCAGAAAGTGTCTAAGCAAAAATGGACTAAATAAAAAGTAGGGTGGGCGTGGTGTAAAGCAGCCAGGCAAGGCAAGAATGAAGAAAGCGGTGGTGATGGTGAAAAGAGTACATCACATAAGAAAGCAACAAAGAGCATTAAAGGCCTTAAAAAAGATGTTTCTCAAAATAGGCAGGTTGTAGGTGAAGGCATTAAATGACGAAGTTCAATTCAAATTTGATTTTTCCATGCCTGGAGTGGCTGGATATAGGCTACTGAAATGCTTAAAAAAATTTGTAACTGTATAGATAGCTAAAATGTGTGGTGATTGTTTCAAATTTCAATGCACCAGAAAGAAAAATAGAATGTGAATTATCTATCAGAGAGTCGAGGAAATCTCTTTGGATTTTGGACACAAGAATAGTTCTGTAACGTAATTTTATGCCCGAGTCAACACCACCTAGTTAGTTTGAACTAACTTTCAAGTTCGAACTAGTTTGACATTTTTGCATTGTGCACTTTTTTCAAGGAGTTTGTTTCCAATCTCGAGTTAAGCCACTCGACCTGCACTGATGATCACGGGGATGACGGCGCCCTAATATGGGACAATTGAGTCCCGCGTGAATTAAAAAATCCACGTGGATCCCATGTGCATGCACACAGTCATCCTCGCTGTCACTCCCGCGGTTCGTATAGCATAACCTTCCAATCTCTCATTTTCTGATGTACATAATTTCTGGTCTATAAAGTTAGTAAAATTTGTGAGATAATCTTGTCAGACTTCTAAAATATAGAGATACGAATTCAATTTAAAATTTTCAATCATTTAATTAATACCTAGACTGTTTAAATAAGTAGTATTTAGTATTTACTTAAAGCGATTTTCCACTTTGACTGTGAAAGGAAAACTCATAATCTCACATCATAATTTTAGAAGGTGAAATGTTAATAAATGGACATATCACCACTATGGTTCTTTAGACTCTGAGAATTAGAAGGTGACACATAAAATAAAACTATTTTAAGGGATAATGTCTATGTTGCTAACAAATGAACATGAATTTTACAGATTTTCTCGAAAAAAAATTATTGTATTATCGAACCATTAATGTAAGGAAGATTATTTTTAAATAAATACAATAAATTTACTACTATAATTTCTATATACTACGTGGGTGTTTTGTTGGGAAATTTAGGTAATACACGCATTTCCTACTCATTCTTAGCATAAGAAATTGCATATATATTATGGTGAACTCGCAATTAAAAAATTCTAAGACACTATCGAAAATTTGTGGAGTGCACAAGTTTACTCATCGTAGAAATCATCTATTTGAGTGGGAATGAATTGTTTCTGTAAAAATTTTTAGGTTGAATTTTCTAAAGACCTGCATGGTGTTGTCCAATATCAAAATAGTCAAGGACATGAGAACCAAATCCAATAAAGAAATATTGTGTAGCTTCTATTTTTTTGGTTTACCCTAACGACTAAGTTTTGGGGGGCATCGTCTCTATTGATTAGCCAAGTAAATTTTCGATAGACTCTTTGGCTACTCATCTCGTCGTGGTTTTTATATGTCTAAATCCAACGATTCTATGAACTCTAATTCCGTTAATTTCGCAGTAATACGAGGAATTGTTGAAAAATGAGTAATATTATCTAGCACCACTAATGCTTAACACCGATTTAGATGGCATTATTAGTGACATTAAATTACAGATTCAATAAATATTGATATTGATGCAATTTTATGAGTCTATAAATCCAACGTTTCTATGAACTCTGATTACGTCAATTTCTCATTGATATGGGGAATTGTTGAAAAAGGAATATTATTCATCACTATTGACATTTAATTTCGATTCAGGTAACATGACTTGTGACATTAAATTACATGTTCAATAAATACTAATATTTTTAAAAAAGGACTAGTCATTGACCCCAAAAAGAGGAAGGGTCAAGGGTCAGAAGGTCGAATATATATATATATATATATATATATATAATCAACAAAGTCTAAGTGCTACTCAATCCAATTATATAATTTAAGATAACTTAATAAATCAACAACATAAAGTAAACAATAATGTCAATAACTGAATAATATGAAAATTTAAATAGTTGAAATTTAAAAGTTTCACATCAATTATCACCTCAACTTAAAAGTAAAGATAAATAAATATTTTTAAACACTAAAATAAGATTAGATAATAGTAAATACTGCTAATTAATGTTAAAAGAATTTTAAATTTTTAATAATTAAGGCAAGGTAAAAAAAAAAAAGATTAATTAACTATAAAATATATATGAACAGTAACGTAATAGATCCCATATTGAAATCCACCATACATACACACAAGTGTTCCACAACAAAAGGGTCTCTCGGGGCATAACCCAATGGTGCAAAGGACGGGAGTGAGGTAGTTTTAACCTTGCTGGCAGCCGCAGTGTGAAGGTTCGATTCCTGATATATGAAATCGGACTCTTTATGTGCACCAGTGTACGAGCAAATTCTTGTTCCCTGACCTGATAGGGCACATCCCGCGATTTACCTCCCTCACGATACTTCAAGGATGGGGCGATGGAGGCCCTCGAGATTAGGGTTCAACCTTTAAATATTCCATAGTAAAAGGAATTGATCCACATTGGAATCCTTTTGCTGAAGCCTAGAATGGTATCCTATAAATAGATGGGCCAACAACTGCATGTGTGATTTTCTGGGCCTACCAATTATTAGGCTGAAAATTGGAGTTTGTGGTTTATGATTATACAATAAAAATCAGCAAAATCGAACCGATTTCAGGTCGTTGGTTAGTCATTAAACCGGATAAATAAAACGGTTTTTTTTGCTCATTTTGAGTTAAACGAGTTTTATGCCTTAACCGAACCGGATTTCTAACCAATTCCTAATTTTCCCGGCCAGTCCGATTTTTAAAACATTGATAAATACAAGGAATAATGTGTGTAAATGAATTAATTGACTTCATCTATAAATTAAGAAGAAGATGAAGAGTCGGGTGTTGCTGCACCTGTTATTAGGGATTGAAATAAGGGAAAATTATTTACAAACCTACATTTAAAGATTACTTTTTCAAAACAAAGGGGATTAAATTCCATTTTCACAAATAAGGTGTTAGTTAAGTTTTATTCATTAAAATTAATGAAAATTTAATTACACCTAATCTACCTATATCACTCCACGTTGCACCCAATCCCTCACATTCATCCTCAAAATCAATTTCAACCTACTCTCTCTCTCTCCCCCCCCCCACCCACTAACGCATCAACCCTAGCAATATCCAAAATCACAGGTGGGGGTGGAGAGTTCTTAGAGGGTTTTATGGAATTGGCGTCAGTAGCGACAAATTGAAGGCTTCTTTCTCGGAACATTCATAATGGTTGCCTGAGAACTCACGCCTTTGCCCGGCTTTAGATCTGTACTGCTTTTGTCTTCTTCTTCTTTTTTTTTTTCTTTTTACTTACAACAGTTTTGTATGGATCTATATCTCTTGTCTACAGTTTTTTAATTGGCGTCCATTTTTTTACTTCATCGTTTTGAAGGAATTATAAGTAAACTTTATTTTTGATTTGATATTGATTCAAACTTGGTTAGTGATGATATTCCAAAGGCTTGTTTCTCAAGTGGCACCCCAATTTTTATCTTTCTCTTTTCATTCCTTACCATCTCTTCACTCTTTATCATCTCTTTGGATTTATGTTTGAAAATGTATATTTATTGTTTATGGCGGTGGTGGCTGTGATTGTGGTGGAACAGGTAGAGATTATGATAGTAGGGTGAGGAGGTTTGTTATTTGTTGTGTTAATCGTAAACAGACAAGCTATGCCATGGTCAGCTTGTTGAATGTGTTGGTAGTGGTGATTGTGATTGTTATCGTGGAATTGAGATGAATGTAGTATTCATGGTCGTGGATTTAAGTTGAAGGTGGTAGTGACGGTACATTGGTGTTGATAGTAGTGGATTGTGGTGCTGGTTTGCAGTGTGTATAGATTATTTGTGGTGACTCTCTGTGATCAAGTATGCGTTTATTGTGACCGATCATGACCAATTTTGTGTTAATTATGACCAATTGTGACTTGATCATATACTATCAGTTAAGATTAACATGGTCACAGATAGTCATACTACAGATAAATTAGGTCACGATTAGTCACATTGAAAATAAATTTGGTCACCATTAGTCATAGATAACACAAGTTAATCACTTGGTTACATACAATCACATATTAAACAATCACGAATAGTCACATTAAAGACAAATTTGATCACAATTAGTTACATATAACACAAATTTGGTCATAAAAAATAATTTGGTCATAAATTTTGAAGGCCAAGAACTTGACATTGTGACGTTCTCAGTTTTTACTCTTTTTTTTATTATTTTTTAATTGGCAGGTTTGAGTTTATAAGTTACAGTCATTTCATATAAGTTACAAATCAGTATAAACGGATCACGGATCAATATTAACAGGTCACATGTTGTATTGTAGAAGTCACGAATCAAATTTATAGGTCACAATGTACACAAGTCATAGGTTATTGCCTAGAAAAAAATTTGTGAATTTGATTATTTAATTACAAAAATATTTTTTTGATTAATTATTTCATAACTAAAATTTTAATATTATTTTATTTTTGAAATTTCAAACTTTATTTCTCAATTTTAAAATTGATCATATGTATATTCATCCCACCTGATTTAGTCACAGATTCAATAGAATTGATCACAGATCACAATGTACACAGATCACAGATATAATGCAACTGGTCACAGGTCATTGCCAAAAAAGAAGAGAAAAAATGTTGTCGGTGGAAAGGTGAGTGATCACCGAAATAGTCGTCGGAACGGTCGGGAGAGGTCGTCAAAATATTACCCGGAATGGGATAACTCGCCAAAATTGTTGCAGTAGCCGTCGTCTAAAGACGTCGGAATATTCGTCAGAATTGAATAAGTCGTGTGGAATTGTCGCCGGAGAAGCTGTCGGAAGTTGTCAGAGAAGCTGCCGGAGTTATCGCCGGAGGTGAGGAGGGATGGAGAGAGAAAGAGAAGAGTTTGATGTGATGAGTGGATGGGTGGGAGGTGGGGTAGGATAAGTAGATAAATTATACTATATTATACTTAAATATTTAATAAATTTAATTATCACCTTATTTTTGAAAGATTTTTAGAAATTTGTTAATTTTAAAATGTGATTTTTAAAATGGAGAATTTATGTTGTGTTACCTTGAAAGAAAGATGAAGATTTGAGCTATTGGGCTAACTG